CCAACATGGCTTCTCTTACGTTCTTCTGTCTGGGGCAGTGATGTTCGGTATTCTTGGTGCTTGGGGGGCGACAGTGGGAGGGATCTTGGAGTTCTGGCCCTGCTGGTGAACCTCCTGATGGACCCTGGGTTTTGGCCACTGTGTGACACAGAGTGTTGGCCTGGATGGGCCGTTGGCCTGATCCAACATGGCTTCTCTTATGTTCTTAACCAAGTCACCTGTTGATTGGCTAAAAAGTGAACAAATTGAAACTAAGCCCTGAAAAGACAGAGGCAATGCTAGTTGGGAAGGAGAAGGTCTTGAAGGACATTGTTCTCCCCACTTTAGATGGAGTTCAACGGACCCTTGCTGACTCGGTTAAACGCCTTGGGGGGTCATAGTGGATTCAGCTTTATGACTCTAAAAGCAAGTTAATGCATTTCCAAAACATCTTTCTACCAACTCAGCCTAGCTCGCAAGGTGGCTTCTTACCTTGATACACCTGACCTTGGCCACCTGAATCGGTGCCACAGATGATCTCTTGTCATTCAGGGGGGCAGGCGTAATTCTGGGAGGTTTCCAGGCCCCACCTGGAGCTTGGCAACCCTATTTATATCTAATTAAGTGACAGAGAGTCTGCCGGCGAGCCAGACGCCCTCTGATGCCAATGCAACACCATTCCGTGCCGCAGTACCATCCTTTGTAACAAACAGATATTCTCATGTTTGTTTGATTTTAAAGTACCCGAAGGTACATATTTATTATTTTCTTATATTCCTAGACACAGACATAAACAACTACAACGAACAACATATAGGCCAAGAGACTTATTACAATTTGTTACTACATCTACTCCATCGCTTCATTGTTCTCTAGCAATATTCTCTAATTCCATTATTATATATTGCTACACACTCCAATGTTATTTCTGCCATATCAGCTTAATCTTTAACTCCATTCTCATTGTACCAATCATATAGTCTCTTCCAGGTTTTTTGAAATGTCCATTTTTTTGTACCTCTCATTTCCATGATTAATTTGTCCATTTCCGCCGCTTCTAATAGTTTATTAATGTATTCTTGTTTAGTTGGTGTTTCTTGGGTCTTCCAATATTTGGCATATAATATCCTTGCCGCCGTTGACATATATACAATCAAATATCTATCCGTTTCCTTAAACTCTTTAGGAAAAACATTTAACAAAAGCAATTCTGGAGTAAAGGGGATGTTACATCTTACTATTTTTTCCATCATACAATGTACCCATTTCCAATTTTTTTTTGAGACATCACATAACCACCACTTATGACAAAATGTGCCTACCTTATTTTTACACTTCCAACATTTATCTGAACACTTACTAATTTGCTTTGCTAACCTATCTGGAGTAATATTCTCATGTTGATAGCAACGTCCATGCAATGGAATCCTCCCCCTTTGGTATCCTTTTCTTGTGGTTAATGGGGGGGGGAGCAATATTATCTAGCCACTGGGTAAAGAATGCGGCTTGGTTTACCTTGGTCCAGTTTGATTTCCTGTTTCCTCTTTCTGCTTTGTGTGTTTTTTTTTTTAATTTAAAAAGGCAGATAACCCATAAGGGTCTTGAATGTCAAATATGCTGTCTGTTACCTGCTGTCCTGGAGAAATGTCTGAGAACGGGGCCATGTGCAAAACCGAGAAGAAGCAGAACGTGTTTACGCAACACCGAGTTCAGAAGTTCTTTCCTCAGGCTTGGGTTCATGAAGGTTCCTGCCAATAGTCTTGTTTTCACAGCTGCGCCACTTCGGATTTCAAATGAGACTTATGTGACCGAATATTGCTCAATAAGGGGGGGAAATCCCCATAGATAGAAATCTGGTGGGTCAAGAAGGATTCTACTTAAGGCTTTCCCTTGACAGGTTTCTTTTTCATGTGCAGGATTTTTCTTGTTTTGCATGGAGAACCATTCTGCAAGACATATGGCCATCCCAGCAAGGGGCTTTCAAGGCAAGTGAGAAGCAGAGGTGCTTGGCCAGTGCCTTCCTCTGCAGAGTCTTCCTTGGTGGTCTCCCATCCATGACTTACGGTGACCCCAGCAAGAGGCTTTCAAGGCAACTGAGAAGCAGAGGTGGCTGGCCATGGCCTTCCTCTGCAGAGCCTTCCTTGCTGGTCTCCCATCCAAGACTTATGGCGATCCCAGCGAGGGGCTTCCAAGGCAAGGGAGAAGCATAGGTGATTTGCCATTGCCTTCCTCTTCAGCATCTTCCTTGGTAGTCTCCCATCCACAACTTACCATGTCCCCAGCAAGGGGCACTCAAGGCAAATGAGAAGCAGAGGTGGTTTACCACCGCCTTCCTCTGCAAAGACTTCCTCTGTGGTCTCTCGTCCAAGTACTGACCCCACTGAGGTTCTGAGATCTTACAAGATCGGGCTATACCTTCTCTCAGGTCACTTCGAAGAAAAAGCGGTGCAGGAGCTCATTAGCATAACTCATTAGCATAACATATTTGCATATGCCACACCCCCTGACATCACCGGAAGTGTGTCAGAAGGCAACACCCACCGCTCAGGCTCCACTGGACTGTTTAGGGGGGGGGGGGGAGAATGTGCAGATCTGCTCTTTACTGCCGGAGCTCCGCTCCTGTGCGCTCCCGCAGGAAATGGCCCCTGCCTTCTCTTCTCCTAGAGCACAGTCCATACAATATCACCGACTCTGCATTCCACAATTCTTTTCCTCCGGTGAAAACTCATGTTTCATTTAGACTCCCTGACAAACACATCTTGAGGTGGAGGAAGCCGAATGTTCACTAAGGCACTTCTTTGGTTTCCTAGAGCCTATCAATGAGTGTTGAGTGCTGGGGGGG